CCCCAAAACCCCAAAACCCCAAAACCCCAAGTAATGATATCTATTAATTAATTGTAAAGAGTTTGAGTAGAATATTATAAAAATGTTAATGGATTAAACTTTAAAACTCAAACTAGCTATTACCCCAACTAGAATGGTTAATGATTTAGAGGATTCTAAAACTCCCAGTACCGCTTTAAAATTAAAGGCTGCGCAAGAGTATTTATAGCCTTTTATTGTCAGTACAATAGGTATGTAGATTTATTCTTTTCAATTTGAATCTAGGCATAATTGAAGAAAATTATCCTTAAAATTCTTATTCAGAACCTCTCTAATTTAGCCAGATTAAATAAGAAAAGATGAAGAATAAATTAGGTGAAAAACTTGAAGTCATAGACGAATAGATAGAATTATTTAATGTTGATTAAAATTATTCTGCCTGACACAAGAATGAGGACGAAGATGTCAATAAGAAATATGAAGAAAGAGGGCGCTAATGGATTAGAAACTTTAAAATAATAAACAAAAATAACAAAGAGTAAGTTGTAGATGCTTTGATAATCATCCTTACAATTTGATAATTAATTAGCTATAGAATTAATATTAAATTATTAGGGCAAAAATTCTAGAATTCTGTGTAGATTATTTCAAGCAAGAGGATATTTTATTTGAAGTTCAAAAGCAGTCATTCTTGATGAAAGAAGATATAAATAAATACCAAAAGGACAATAGTGAACTATGATTATAATGCCAAGGTAATCATTTCATGCATTGCAATAAACTACCTATTTTAGATTTGGTTTCTGAAATTATCCAAATTTAGTAACGTCTAATTGAATTTGATGTCGGTAAAAGGGATCAATGGCTATAAACTGAAAATAAAAATGAATCTATGCTATAACACTAAAAACCAGAATAGATAAATCAGGAAATATAAGTGAGTTAAATGATTAAAACAAATCAAAAATTTATGAATACAGGATAACTAATACTTGATCAGTAAATTAAGACATTAATACCTAATTAAAATTTAGAGATATGCTTAGTTAATTAAAGGAAGTGCAAAATTAAAATTTGGAGTTATAATCAGAAATTAGGGCATTAAAAATGATTCAATTAAATTAGGGTAAAGAATTAGTGAAATACTAATCCGGTGAGCAGGTTGATATTATAAAGTCATAGGCAGAAGAGATTAAATCACTCAAACTGAAGTTTTCATAAATTGAGGATGACAAAAAAAAGAACAAAAATGAAGATAAAAAAATCTATGAGCATTTATAAAAATTAGATGAGAAACTAAAAACTTAAATTACAAAAAATAAGGTTTTGAATGAGAAAAATATTTAACTTTATAAGACATTATAAGAAATACAGGTTGATGGTTATATTAAGAAAGTTTAAGATTAGCTTCAATAGGCTTAGAGTGATTATAATGAGCAGAAGTTCAAATTAGCTAAATACAAAATGAATTTGAGTGAGAAAAATGAGTTTATTAAAAGACTTTAAAACCAACTCGAGGAAAAGATAAATTCCAAAGATAAGCAATTAGAGATTATATCCAAGTAAAAATCTAACCTTGAAATATCCTATACAAAGCTTCAAAAGCAATATTAGAGCATTTTTACTTAGCTCTAAAGATATATAGACTTATCTGATTAAGGTTAAATGATTTCGTAAAAATCAACTACAGGATAAGAAAGTATAAGAACTGAACAATAAAAATTATAAATCAATACACAATAACTGCTTTAATAAAATATGGTAAGTGCTAATAATTAAAGAATTAGAGTTGGCTCTATGAGAGTAAATCAAGTAGATCTTAAAAGTAATTCACCTGCTACCACATATACAAGCAAGAATTCACATCTATAGCACAGAAAACTAAAAATAGATAATAAGTTCAAAAACAAAAGTATGGAGCGCTAAGAATTATTTAATATAGCTGAGTCCTTAATATAGAAGCCTTCTAATCTTAATGATTCATTGGGCAGTATATCAAGATAGTCTGCTGAAAGAATAATTGCAAGAAATAAAAATAATAAAGCCTAGCTATCTCAGTTACCTTCCATTTTTTCTAAAGACAATGAGAATACAATTCTAGATGAAAGCAACATTAAGATCTAAGGTCTAAGATAAAAAAGTTATAAAGTTATCTAAGACATGAAAAATATGAAAAATTCTCATATTCATTCTTAATCTGTACTGATTCATGAGGGTAAAGGCCTTAATGATAGCTTGTTTGACTGTGATGAAGACAGCAGGAGCAAACAATCTATGATTAACATATCCAATTTTAATATGAAAGAACTAGAATCAAATACTGAACATACTCCTAAATAGCCTAAATAAAGTCCTCCTAATATAAAAATATAGCGATTAAAGGATAATTAGTATGGATCAACTGAACTTTTAAATGATATTGATGTTCAAATTAGAAGTAACTCAGGGTTGCAAAATATATAGCAGTAAACTCAAAATTAAATTCAGAGTTAAAGTATCAGTAAATTTAGAACTCAGATACCAAAGAAAAGTTCAATTGATAGCCAAATACACATCGAATAGTAAGACTAAATTATTTAGAACACTATTTTTCATCGAAAGAGAAATAGTACTCAGAATGATTTAATAATATAGGAGGAGGAAATTTATTAAGAGAGTAACAGTTTTTCTGATTAAATTTTGTATTCTTGATAGAGATAGAGTTTGGAAATTTATTACCTCTTCACTTTTATGATTTGAAGCATATTCTAATAAAAATTATAAATAGTCTTAATTAATTTCAATATTATTTTCCTTTTCATTTTAAGTAAACAGTTAGCCATAAATCATTCATGATGGGGTTTTGGGGTTTTGGGG